TCTAGTAAATTATTACCTCAAATATATTCCACATCAGGCAACGTTATCTCTATCATTAAACAAATTAATGAAATATGTAGTGCTTTTCAAGTGCAATTCAGAATGTAACAAAGCTTTTGATACAATCAAACGTATCATGCAAAGTTGCAGTGGCTTCAAAACTTCAAAAATCCTTCTGGACTTTTAGCAAGGTAGATCAGCAGATTAGCTCCTTACAGTTTCAAAATTTCCTTCATTAAATGCAGCAAAAATGTTGGAGCTGATGATCAGTCCAGAAGACCAGTTAGCCCGTGTTGAAGTGACTGCAAGAAATATTCAAAATTAGAAATGCAAGACAACCTCACTCCAAAAACACTTTTAGAATATTGCGTTTCTATAACACCCAATCCTAACTTTACACCTGTTCAGTTGAAAAATGATAAACTATTGCATCAAGAGTCAATGCCAATTATAGTTGGTTTACAAGAGAAATTGATACATACCTTTCAAGACATTGTTGCTCATAGTCCACAAACAAGATCTCTCTGATTACAATATCAGTCTTTCATTCTTCATGATGGAATTTTGTATTGGAAACTTAAACATTCTAGCCTAGATCCAGATAAAAAAAGTTTCCAGCTTGTTATCTCATCTAAGCGTGTAGTAGACACCATCAAGTCATACCATGAAAATCCAATTACAGAAAACTTTTTTGGTATTAGCAAGACATACGCTGCTTTCCATAAGGTTTTCTACTAGCCTGGAATGTGAAAAGACGTTGCTTCATTTGTTTTTCAATATGAAAAGTGTGCAAAATTCAAACATCATAAAAGGTCAAAAGTTCCCTTACAAATTTTCAGAGAAAGTGCATTTCATGGCAAGTGGCACATTCACATCTGAGACCCACTCCCTCAAACTGAGAAAACCTATAAGTATATCCTTTCTGCTATATGAACCTTCTCTGTATTTGGATCTCCACTCTCTATCTTGTGGGATCAAAAAAGGTGTTTTACATCTTTTGTGATCAAAGATATTTATAATATCTATAGAATCCTAAGCAAGACAATTTCACTGGCATATTCACCTGCAAACAGTAAAGTGAAAAGATGGATAAGAACACTGAAACAACATCTAAAAATGATGGTTTAAAAGGATTAGAAAAATTGGCGAAAACAATTACCTCTCATCTGTGAAACTTATAGAAGCATTCTTCACACATCAACAAAGTTTTCTCTTGTCCAAAGTCATTTTTGATGGTCTAATGCGTACATCTTTAGATTTTCAATGAGGCCTTCTTCCAGTCACTGTTTCTGTCGAAATAACAATTCAAAACTATCCATTTTGGCTATGTTCAAAAAACTTACAGCAACAAATAAAACCACTGTAATAACAAATTTACACATTATTCAT